TACCTTGATGATATCATGATCATTGGACGAACGAGATTAGAACTGTTCATCCGTGTAGATCCCGTCTCGCAACGAATATTGAATATGGGTTCCGACATAAAAAGGAAAAATGTGTTCTTGCATTTATCATTGACAAAGATAGTCGACGACCCGACCCGGCAAACATTGAGCCAATCGTAAAAATGTCCCCACCTACAAATTTTGCTAAACTTAAGTCATTCCTCGGATTCATCAGTTATTATAGCGCACTCCTACCAGATATGCACCGATTAAGTGAACCATTAAATCAGCTGCTCACAAAAGGATTTAAATGTGCGTGGTCAAGCGAATGCCAGTCCTTTTGAGCAGGTAAAAATACTTGAAATCTGAACTACTACTAACGCATTTTGATCCAAAGCTTCTAATCATACTGACAACTGATGCGTCCAATAGTAGACTGGGCGGTCATAGCCCACGGATTCCCTGATGGGGTGACAAAGGCAATAGATCATATCGTACTATCTATAACCCCAGAGGAGCGCAATTACGAACAAATTGGAAAAGAAGCTTTGGCTATTGTTGATGCCGTAAAGCTCAATGAAATGCTCTATGTGACCTATTTCACCCTTGTCAGCGACCACAAGCCACTGTTGTCCATTTTGGCTCCAATAAAAGCATACCAGTCTACACAGCGAACCGATTACAACGCAGGGCTACAGTACTGCTGAACTACAGCTTCACTAACAAGTACGTCTCCACTAGTAACATTGGACAAGCAGATGCACTTTCAAGACTAATACGTTATCACAGCTCGGAAGCGGAGGAAATGGTTATCGTAAACGTTGCTATGGAACCAGAAGTCAGAGGCACCATTTTGAAGACCATAAACTAACTACCGGTGACTTTTGATATGTTCGCACAGCGACTGAATGGGACAACACTCTCCAACAGGCGATGACATATCACTGATCCACCTGGCCATCACATTACCCAAGTGGGGAACTCCGACAACTTTTCCAGCTACGTAACGCACAATCTATTGCCGATCGTTACCTCCTTTTCGCTGACCGTATCGTCATTCCTTCGGAACTCCGTAGCAGTTTTGACGCAGTTTTATTTGGGACATCCTGGTAGAAACCGAATAAAGGTTTTGGCAAGGATTTACGTCTATAGTCCCGGTATGGATGAACAATTGGAGCGCCTGTGCAAAAGCTGTTTAAGCTGTGCCATTGCCTAAAAACTGCCCAAGCGAGACCCGGCAATACCCTGACCAGAAGCAGAGAGACCATGGGTGCGCCTCCACATTGATTTTGCTGGACGGATTAACGGAAAAAGTTTCCTAGTCGTCGTGGATGCCTACAGCAAGTGGCCAGGAACTTTTGTTATGGATTAAACCACTGCAACTACAATTATTGCGAAACTACCACGTCTGTTTTCCATTTTTGGACTTCCGGGGACAATCCTGTCCGACAACGGTAAGCAGTTCACTTCCTAGTTATTCGTTGATTTCAAAAAGATGCGGAATCTCTCACATTAAAGCGTCTCCTTTCCATCCGCAATCAAAGGGACAGAGCTAGAGAGTTGTCGACACATCTATGCGGGTCTTACTGAAATGCAGGGGGAGGGAACGACAGCGGAAATACTGGACTCATTCCTACTGAACAACTGCAAATCAGCAAAGTACGAACGGCTGTTCCGCCGCAGAAGCCTTGATGAACAGGAACTTACGTCTGACACACGATGTTATCCGATCAGTGATGCAAGTAAAGCGTACCTTGCGACGAGGAGATCCCGTGCGTTGGAGTATACCTCCGTCTCGCCTTTTGATAAGAATGTCTAAAAACTGCAGGTTATCTTGTTGCACCCACTCATACGACACGGAGAGACTGGGGAGAGTCGAATTCAACAGTGACAATTCGGTTAAAATGCTCCTCGCTGATGAAGATTAATTTCATCCATGTAACGTTTATATAGCTTAGCTTCATTAATGATGTTAGCGATCTTCCTTTCAATCAAACCAAGGAAATGTCCGCCCGAACTAAACCTAAAGGGCTTCTCATTGCAACGCCATCCATTTGCCCGTATGCGGATCCTTCAAATTCAGACAGAACATTTTCTGTGCATGTTAATAACAGGTTAGTGAGATACACAGAAGGGAGGCCAACAGGCAGGTTTTGACTCAAAATGAAAGTGCATAATTCGTCAAGTTTCGCGCAAGGGTACGTTTGCGAACAGTGAATCCACAGTTATCGAGAACATGCGTCCTCTATGTAGTGACGTATGGTCTAGTGTCCCGACTAATTCGAATGTCCTTCAAACAATATGTGGCCAAGTTTACGAACTGGTTTCAGCAATTTTGCCAACCAAGGAGCTACCTTGTGATATGGGGAGTTGTTCATGCACAAAATTGGTCGTAAGGGATTACCCTTCTTGTGTATCTTCGGTGCGCCTCTCATTCTTGGGGTTTCCGTTCCCGTGGGCTTCAATTGCCCATATAGTGATTCGGTGATGTACCCGTACAACAAAAGGATTTGCAGTTTTCTCGCGACCTGCTTTTCTACCAAATGTAATACGTTATGGAATGATGGGAGTAATGTTAATATATCGCAACCTTTGTCTTCTGTCTGCGCTGGTCAAGATGTGATAGGGTTAATGCAATCGGAGGAAGAAGACGGATTTGTAAGACGAAACAAACGGAACCGACGTTAGGATGTCCAAAGTATCTCCGCTGATTGGTTAATAGTTGGCTGCGGTGGAGTGCTTTTGACTGAGACAAAAGAAGAATCGTTAGTTATGGAGGTGATCTAGTTAGATATAGCAAGACTAGTTGTGCTGTTGTTTTCGTCAAGATTGCTTTGCCCAATAAGCCGCTTGCCCCTGTAGGACACAGCTCTGCGATAGCAGAGGAATCAGTAGCACATGTGGACCTTGTACTGACAATTCACTCCCACGCAACCACCAGTAATCGCATGAGGACCGGGATGCACCAACACACACTCGGACCGGTGACTAATGGATTGCAAGCCAAGAGTCATCAGTGACAATATAACCAGGGATGCAAGCGCGCCCTCGTGGATTGCTCCCGCGTAGAAAACCCGCAGACCGCACCGATAAGAACTGTAGTAAAACTTAAGTTGCATACCCTGGGTTGAAACTACATTAATCAGGTGTCAAGAAACCAAAGGTACTCTATCAGGATAGCGTCGTATTCCTTGCATAAGGTGCAGGATTGGGCTGGTAACACGCTGCGAAGAAAAGAATCTCGCACGTTGAGTCAAGTGATGATAGAGGAGCCCAGCCAAGTAGAGCTACATACAAAAATGCAACTGCAGCCGGCGTAACCGAATCCGGGAACATTTGTCCCGGAAAACGAATCAAGCGGTAACATGTTAAGTCAAGATTGACATAGGCGACGCAAGTAGAGAATTAAACAGCCGCACATGCGGCAACTAACACTGTCCAGCAGATATAGTGGCATAAAAGCATCTAAGTACGGTAGATCCAGAGGGGTTTAAACAGTAGAACTCTGTTGTGATCTATTCACTCGCATTTGAATAATGTTCCCTCTTGTTGCACATTTCTTTCCAGTTGTCACTCATCCTACTGTGCCTTCGTGTTGAAAAACCCACCGATCAACAGTGAACTACTCCCTATTCCTCATGCTTCTCAGTTCTTCTAACCCGTCGCCCTTCGTCTTAGCTCTTTGCTTTGCAAAATACTCGTTGGTTACTCATCGACAACTTTTGAAAATAACATCCCACTTTCTCTACTTTTACATAGCTAGGTAAGTTATAGACCCTAACCTTTTCTTTTCTAATACTTGTGGTCTTGATCTACGGTATTAACTTCATCTACCACGCGTCCAATAAGCATATCTATTTATCGCGAGACTGACAAGGCCATAACAAATGGCGGTGGTTTTTATGGAGATTTTATCTTAAAACCCTCAGCGATTCTTGCTACGATTACAAAAACAAAATATTTCTTCTGCCACCTACTTACCTGCAGATTCCGAGTACATCCATATTAATTGGTAAACACAACCGGACATTCTTGTCCCATTCGATTTCTACTCTTTTTGAGTTAGTTCCTTGGTGCATTTCTGAGCTTTGGATTGCATTCAAGCAAATACTATATTTCATTTCTAAGTCCTGTATCCACCCCCTGCTCGTTTCGCGGTCCCATGAGAGGGATACTTGGTGGGAAAGAAATTTCAACGAATTTTATGATGCAGGGCACATCCCAAAACATCTCTGGCGGAGTCAGATCGATTAAAAAACATTTCGATGATTCAAAACAACTTCATCGATTCCAGACTTTCATCATGGATCCGAATGTCTTTTGGTTATTGATATCAAGCAAATGTTGGTGGGTTATCTTGTTCATTTGTTAGACGAACTGTGCTTTGAGTCTGGCAATGTTGCTGCAAACGTCTCGTCATCGGTCGAGATGACATCGTTGACGTATAGCAGAGCGCAGCGATGCGTGAACCGGGTAGTCGCGCGTGTCCATTTTTATGGGTCATGGACATTGGTCATTTTGGCAGGTGAACTTTGGAAATGGCCTCTTCTACCCATGTCTCGTGACCATGGCCCAGTTGCCTCCGCAGCCGAAAACGTTGCCTAAACTGCTCGTACGGTGTCCCCTTCTATTAGGGGGATCTGACTGCGGTGGCGCCCAATTTGATTGATCGAATCGTTCGTGGAGTACCTTGCTTCTAGAAATGCTCTTGCCTGCTTCTCACGTGCTAGAAGTTTTAAGTTTTACTGGTCAAAATGATGACCAGATTCAACCTCGTGTATAAACACCAACGAAGATGATGGGTCACGCTTCCTTGTGTTTTATGATACATATGGAAAGATTCTTTCTGCTTGGTTGCGCGATTACTTGGTTCACACCCACTTGCACATCGGTCCGCTGCGCCATACATTAACGCGCTGTTAATACAGCAAGATGTAAAATATCACGATCAACACTGCAGTTGGCTGCACCTATCATTGTCGAAAGATAAACAAGATCTATAGTGGAATTACAAGCGTTAGATCATCAGACTATTTCCAACGCACATTAAAACGGTTGTCTGTTGTTACTCCGCGAAAGAGCGGAGCACTAGCTTCGAGCGCAGAGAAACGAAAGCCAGCAGCATCAGGGAACAACAGTTGACGAAGAGACTGGACGAATAAATTGTAATAGTGACTTTCTCGCAAATATTTTCACCAGTAAAACGATTTCTACGCAAAGAAACGTTGATGTTTCAGCAGTATAGCTGCAGGAATTGATTCCATTACAAGTCAGGCTATTCACAGCTGGAGTGAAGTCGCAGCGTGGTATGTCTAGGAGCAACATGAGAATCGCAAGGCCGTCCAAATCTTTGCGGATAAGCTAAACCCATGGAGGGGTGAGGATAAACAGCTGGTTATCGGGAGCGGAAGGATGAATACACAAAAGCGAACAAACCGATAACCGAACACCGTTGTTTAACTGTCGTTATTCATCATCATACAGAGATAACCGCAATGACTGGGTGTAATCAACTAACAGGAGACAATCGCGTGCTAAGTGCCGGAGGTCCGTCAGTGAAATACTGATGAATCAACGGAAAAGCAAGGACTGTTGTGAAGAGGCGATGGAAAGAGGTTAACGAGCAGGAATCATACTGGCAACAGATAAATGTTTGGTCTGGAGAATAATAGATGAACAAGAATGTACAGGAAGCACCAGTTGTGTCACGACAAAAGTGCTTTGATCGAATCTAGATAGAAAAAAACGAAGTAAAAAATCGTACAATCTCATAGAGAAGGGCAAAGGTTGATAAGTACAAAGAGGGTCGCGACTCGGTGTGGATGAGGTGTCTCGGGGATGGACGGACAATGACAGGAGGGGCTGTGCACGCGTGTGTACATTGGCTGAAGAATACGCCGGACAAGGAAGTTGGAGGTCTAATGCTAAAGGAAAAAAACAAACCAATATAAGTAGCAAACACCGGCGTCAAAGTGCTATTAAAACAGGGCAGGAAACCTACATAAAGAAGTGTGAAGTGGCCAATTACAATACAAATGCATACAAGGAGAAATAAAGAGTTCCCCTTGATTCGGAATACCTGAGAGAAAAGTGCCCTAAAATCCTTGAAACCCGAGGAAACCATCGTAATCATGCCTGCGGACAATGAACGTATGACTGTCACAATGGATAAAACTGATTATATTGAAAAGGCAGGTCATCTCCTAGCCGACATAACAACTTATCGATGCATGGAGAACGATCCAACAGTACGATTGACAAATAAAGTGAATAAGACACTTAAGAAACTTCAAGAATTAAGTCAAGTCACAAAGGGAGAGTATGATAGAATGAAGGCTCGTGATCCAAACATCGCAAGTTTTACTGGCTTCCTAAAGTACACAAAGAGGGTGCGCTGCTACGACCAATAGTATCACTCCCAGGTACACCAACTTACAACTTGGCTAAAGAATTATGGAAGGGCCTCAAACATCTGACCAGCGGATCGCAATACTCCATCAATAATGCTCATCAGCTTTTGGAAAAGCTCAAATGCATAAGGATAGACCTCCATCAACTTACAGATAGCGAAAGAAAATATCAAAGAACGTCTGAATAATGAAGGACAAACGACTGGGAAGTTAACAACTGAAAGCATATGCAAACTCCTCGACTTGTTTCTTACTACTTACTTCAAATTCAACGGAGTGTTTTACGAACAAGTTAGAGGAGCTCCAATGGGATCCCACCATATCTGGACTTATTGCGGAAGTTGTCATGCAGAGATTGGAAGAGGATATACTCCCAGTCATTAGTCCGAAATTATAGGTGCGATACGCTGACGATACGTTTGTGATTCTCAAACGCAACCAGCTACAGACCGCACAAGGCCTACTTAACAATGCAATGGAAGGCATTCGTTTCACCAGGGAAGAAGAGGTGGAAAACCAACTACCTTTTTGGAAGTGCTGGTTAACAGAACAGTGGAAGGCGAAGTACAAACATCAGTTTACAGAAAAGCAACACACACCGACCAAATCCTGAAGTTTAACAATAATAACCCTAAGTGTCACAAAATAAGCTGTATACGGACCCTATTTCGTAGGGTAGAATCGCACTGCAATACTGTGGAGACAAAACGTAAGGAAGAGGAACATCTGTTTACGTCTTTCATTCGCAACGGCTACCCACGCAGTTTCATCCGAAGACACCTAAAGCGAAGGAGCACAACTACTGCACCTGCACCAACAACGGCGAAACACATCGCCTTGCCGTACATCAAAAAGTCGGCCGGTGGCCGAGTGGTCTGCGCGTTTGATTTGCAACCATAAGGTCGCCGGTTCGAATCCGTGTAGGGGTGGGCGTCCTCGCGGTATACTCAGCCCGCGCGCGACTGGTGGTGGTCGCGCGGCGTCGAAGCGCCGTTACGGCGTACAGCTGACACATTATTACATTATATACATCAAAAAGGTATCGGAAAAGACAGCCAGACTCCTCAAACCGCACAACCTGACGATAGCTCACATAGTAACTGCGATTTTGAAACGAATCTTATCTAGACCTAAGGAAAAACTGGAGGTACACGAACGCCAAAATGTTTTCTAAAGATACAGTGCGAGAACTGTGACAAAGACTATGTAGGTCAAACGGGAAGAAAACTATCCACAAGAATACAAGAGCACAAGCGTGCATGTCGATACCATCATGTACCGTCACAGATCTCAGCGCATCTCGGTGAGGAAGGACACTACATTAACTGGGACAAAACAGGAATTCCGACGCAGGGAGGGACAAGAAAAGGAAGGGAATTCCTTAAGGCATGGTTCTCTACGAAGAATACACTGAACCTCCGCAATGACCTCGATCCCGTGTACCTACAGCTGAGAAAGTGTGAAACTGGGAGGCCAAATATCGAACAAACAGAGGTCACGGGACACAGATCGACGAGGCTAATTTCAAACGCTACGTCCCGACGACACTTTTCGTGAGATTTTCCTCTACGGAGCAGTGCACTGAAGATGCCACTGAGGGAAGTGGTGAAAGGTTTGTCATTAAATTACTCAGCTCGGAGAACGAATCAAAACGTTAAGGAGTTCCCCTTATAATTCCGAACAGGAAAATCGGAAGACGTAGTTTCTGAGGTGACGTCGCCACTTCATACATTCTTATCAATCACAAAGCTTGCGACAGTTATAGGTAAACTAACACAATGGAACACGAGATCGTAAATAGCCAAGCGCTTGCGCTACCACGGTAGGCTTAGAGCGACGAGACCACGCGTAATCCTTACCATGGCACGGTGAGGCAGAAGTACAGGTTCTCTGGGCACAAGACATAAAGAGGCCTCGTTTAAGCTAAGTCGACTAGTTGTTCGTGGAGACTTTTAAAAAAGACTGCGTCGCGATCTTCGGCACTCAGTTGCGAAAGTGTTGCAAGTAGTTCCGCTGCAAGTGAAACACAGTGGTCAACCTATGGAACAAGTAATTGTATAGCTAAGGTAATAACCGTGGGCACAGAAATAAGTTGGTTCTATCTTACAAACCACCTAAACACAGATACATGGGGAAAAGATTAAACGACGCGTTCTGTTCGATGGAATAATGTATGTGGCCTCCTTGACATAAAAATGCGTCAGCAGTATGCCGGAACCGCGTATTGGAAGTTCGTTGCCACGCGACGATCAGGTGTTGCGTGCAGGCTAGGAATAATACAGTGGCCCGTACCTACGCAAGTACGAACCGGTAAAATGTGGATTACAAGCCAGACGCCTGGGCCGTTTGGCACCGGTAGGCTGGCCTTAAAGGAAGTAGAATACAATGTGGAAGTTCCAACGCAAATTGCGGGTCACCTTATCGCATGAGATCTGAAGATAAGGTGGACTATAGGGAATTTCTATTAAACACTGAAATCTGCCAAAGATTACCACTAGAATAAGGTTTTAAAGAGAAAGTAATGAAAAGTGATATCTGTCAGCTGCGATGGCGCGCATGAAATTATAACAGGGTGCATAGCAGATACAAGCAAATCAAGATTTTCGGTGAGTTTGACTTGCGATTGGAGACCAGAATGATTCAAGATGGTTAGTTAGGTGAGTATTTGTGAAAATCACAAAGGCACTATGTTGGAACTGAAAAATTAGTCGGTGGAAAGTCACAGGAGGAACCGCCGGAAGAGGGAAACCGTTGGCGATAGTGGACAATGTTCGTCAGAGTGATATAGTCGCTCGCATGTTGGAACCTGATTGGATTAACAACTGGAACCAAACTGGCAGTGGAACACTCTCGAACTATCCAGTACCCGCAGCCTAAAATGAGTGACAACCCGAAAACAAGACAAAAACTGAATCCGCTCAAGGACAGTTAGCGCGCTCACCGATGTCTGGTCTTAGGAAACTTGAGCAGTGGAACAGCCGGAGGGCGCTATCGCTGCAGCAGATGCCATCGCTCCAGTGGCATTGTGTGCCACATTTTTGAGCTTACGTATCTCCTTCGTCGCCCACATGGCCAGGTGCTTGGTCCGCGAAGATTTCGAACGTCTTCCTTTCTGAAGCAAGTTGGTGATGGGGTCTACGTCGAGAAGTTGCAGGATCCTGCCTCCATAAACCGAGACCAGATCGCTGTGAAGAACGGAGGAGCGAATAATGATAAAGTTGAAATAAAATCAGCGGCCAGCAAATCAGTGGAAAAAAATAAAATAACAAACAACCAGCTTGTCCAACCCAGCTGCACACGTCGGTAGTATAAGGGTCCAACTAAAACATGAACCGCCGAATCAGAGAAATTGCCGCGCACGGACTGACTGATACGTGTGGGAACTAGAGAATCACATGAAGAAAAACAGGTGTTCATGGAAGCACCAGAAGCCAGTATATTCCATACAGTAATATATGTCTCACGATAATAGGAAACGAAGAGTCAAAACCTTCTGTCAGGTAGTATTAAACGACCGGATGATTTGAATAAGGTGTAAAAAAGACAGAACTGCCCAGTTGGGTCGAGTTCAGTATACCAGGTGTCGAGTGGCGCAAGGCTCGAGGGGGACAGAAGTTGAGTTGGCAGCGGGAAATGAAGTCACTGACGACCAAACTGGGTGCCGTTGGTCCGTCTCGCCTTCCGGGCTGGAGTGCACGTGACTCGCCTTGTGCTCGGCTGCAGACTTTACAGGACATGACGCGCAACTGACACCAGTGGCGCGTCTGCTGCCGTCTCCTACTCGGATTGCCTGTTTAAAGTGTGTTTGGTGCTGAGTTATCTGCGGGATAGTGGCTGATTATGACGCAGGACAGTGCAAGCCGCAAGGAAGCTGTCTCGCCGATGCCGCCTTATGTTTACATGATATCCAGCTGTTTGTGACGATATGTTGTCTACACAAGGTGCAGGCGCCTTGAACCTGAATGTTTGCTTAGGGCATTAAGGCTTTTAGGTAAGTGCCCGTTTTCTCCCTCTTAGTGTTCTTTATCTCATAGGTCATCATAGTTGTAGGGCAGCGAAGGATCAGTTCAAATGGCTGATGTACAGCTGTTGATGATGGGTCGAGTAGCTAGCTCCGTGGAAAAAACACGTCTCGTTAAGCATGAATATCGACAAGTCAAGACAATCAAGAGACCGTTAAAGCAATGAGAGTAGTTACATGTGCGTGATGATGGTACGCCACACCAAATGGGCGGGAGCATGAAGGACGCATTTCTTCAATCATTTCGACCCAGTGTGAAGAATCCCAATAGATCCGATAAGTGAGAGAAAGAATGCGAGCAAGTAGTGGGGGCGAAGACCAAGATACATATGTTAGTGAACAGGATTCAGTACGATCGCGTCGGCGAAATTGTGTGAGAACAACAAGCGGTGCAGACTCCGTGTTGCTACACAATAATCGAGAACTATGGCATTAGTAAAGAAGAGGAATCGGAGCAGAAGTACCCAGGAACGCGAGGTTGCAAGTAGACAGGCATGGCAACTGTATGCGGCGCAATGGACCACTTAGACGGCAGAATATGCTGTCCGAACTAAGAAGCTGACGAATAACGAGAGTAAAAAGAACTCCAAAAAGATAAACAGAGGAGATGGGATGAGCCTCGCAGACGACAAGAGCAGGTGACTCGGAACCATAAGGATCACAAGCCTGCGCTGTAATTCGAAGACGCGGGTCCGAGCCTGCGTAGGGGCCGGCCGATCCTCCCAGTATCCTTAGTCCACGTGCGACTTCTGGTGGTAATAGAGAGGTAAGCGGAACCAATGTCCAGATACGTGGTTGCGCGCGGGCTTACCGCGGAGCACGTGTGATGTCTGCTACATGCAAAAGTCATCAGCACGGACATGAAACGACCTTTGACCTTTCCGCTGAATTTGGGAATCGGGTGCGAATTGATCGGCCAGCAAATACAAGCCCGCGTCAAAGGAGTCGAACTATTTCTGTGAAATATGATAAACCCGTGGGATGGAATTCACTCACATTGGCTGAGAACCAGACGCAGACGAGTTGGTGGCCTAACTTCCGAAATTAGCATGTTTCGGTTACCAATAAATAGAGCTGACCTATCCTGTAGATATAATCTGTGTACCGAGTTTTGATCTTTTGTTTTCCTTCGGTTGGCTGGGAGCGTGACTGAGCAGTCATACGGTCGCAGTCTCATAGGTGAAGTAAGGCAGCAGTACAACAGGTGGTTTTGAAGCGAAGCCTCGGTAGTGCGTACCGGCGCACTGCAGATGTCTTCCTTTTTCTCGTTCTGCTCGATCAGTCGGTGAAAGAACAAAAGCACGAACACAGCATTGCGTCATGTGAAAGGGATGGGTAAGAGTCGAGAAATTGAAATACGAAAGATCATGGGATACAAGGGAAACAGGCTACGGCGTTGACTGAGAATCATTGCGAAGTTCGATAATGCACTGGGCTCAAATCGAGTGAGTAACTCAGTTGCGATATAAAGGAGTGTGGAAATGACAGTCACATGAAAAGTCCATGTTACTTACCCGATTAGACCACAAGACGCACAAATTAACTCATCCGTCGTGATCGAGTCCGCTCCGATGTGCTCAATAAAAGATAAAATGTGCGTAACATGGCATGCGACGAACTCCAAAGCTCCACCGGGACCTGTTAGAAGAGAGACAATTGACCGATCAAGGAACAGGATGATCATACAGCAGGGAGAGTTACAATGGGAACCACAAAGAGGACTTACGAGATCCGCTCTCTTTTATTCCTTGTACTATTCCTGTGTATGCTTCGAGACAACTGTTCCGAAGAGAGTTTAAGTATTCAACCATATCCGGATCGGACTGCATTGAGATTGGAATGAAAAATGGAAAATAAATGCAAGGTGAAATGGTTAGGAAAATATGTCGCTGCAACACTGTCTCAACGGAGAGTGTTAACGGAACACATAGGTTTGAAAACGTAGGGAGTAAATCGGTGGTAATGCATATGCGGAGAAAGGGGCTCAATTTACTAGGTGGACCATAGGCTGAACAAGCTACCGGCCGAAACTTGAACTGCGCACAGGGTACCACAAGTCGTGTGAATTCAGGAAAAGATCGTGCTGCTTGCATAAGTGAGAATCACGGACTGATACGTCTGTAGGTTAACATAGGAGGAAAAAGAACCCCCACTAGTTTTGAATATTCGGCTGACATTGAAATGGCAGTCGTGAAAGAATCACTCGGTGTCATATAGCCGCTAAATGATAAGATGCCTGGCGTTGGAACAGTGGGGGCCGACCGTTCGGGAGAAGAATTAGTAATAAAATTGGAAGGCGTTGTTGCTGATGGAAATTACCATGATCCATTTAGGTAGAGGTATAAGTTAGAGCAGGGGTTCCTAACCTGGGGGTAGTTACCCCCAAACGGGTGAAATGGTATTGTACGGGGGGTAAATATTAGTACGAGTCGCAAAAGCAACCTTAATAACAAAATCGTCTGTACAAAACTTGTCGCTAACTACCTATGCACAACTGATTAGCTATCAGTGAGCAGTCTAGTCACTGAAACTAGATGACGCCTCTATCGCCTCTCGCGTTTATCGTTGTTCTTACGAGTCAGACAGTCGTCCGCCAGGTCGAATTATGGAGTCGACTGCAAACTAGTATTGGAGCATTGTTCAAACGACCAGGTAAGGTAGCGCGCGATTATTTACATATTAGAAGGGTCAAAACGGGCGATTAGTGTTCTTGAAGTATCGATACAGAGTGGTGGTGGGGAGATATCATGCAGGAATAACTTGGAATGGAGGAATGCAACACCTGATAAACCACTGATATATGTTCATTTTTGATCAGGAATCACAAACAAAAGTGTAATAAGATGCCTTGAATGGAGATAACAGCAGGCGTTTGAAAATGCAGATACACTGCATTTGGGGTCACAATCAAGGAAGAAACAGCAGAGTGGACGCGTGATCACTACGTATTCGGTTGATCACATTCATCTACAGTTGTTTGTGACGAGAAGCCAAGTCAGTGATTTAATTCAATAGTTTTGATATCACCAAAAACAAGAAACCGCATACTATAGGAGAGGATCTCATCAAACCTTGCATAATGGATGCGGTGAAGTTCGTTCTTGTAGAGCAACGTGCGGAAAAGATAAGTATGATAGCACTCTCTAACAACACTATCAAGTCGTAACAAGGAAATGAGCAAGCATATTTTGAACACGGTCATCAACGAAATGATTTCAGGTCCTTGCTTCGCATTACAGTTAACTGAGTAGATTGACATCGCATCTTGCTCCCAGCTAGTTATCTGTGTTCCGTACATAAAAGGCGACGGTTTCAAAGTAGAGTACTTGTTCTCAGAATCATGGAACACAACTACACGTGGCGAAGGTTTCTTTTGAACAGTGAAAGATTTCGTCGAAGAAAAGATCTACTGTGCTCGAAGTTGGTGGATGTCCGTCCAGACGGAGCACCATACATGTTGAGCGTCCGTTTTGGATTCCAAACATTAGTCAAAACATTTGATCTGCACCCTACCTTTAGCCCCTGCATCATACATCGTTATGCTTCAGCAGTGAAAACTTCCATCTGCTTTGCTGGACGCGCTAACCAACGTAGTGAAAATAGTAAATGTCATCCACAATAGTGCAACAAATACAAGTTTTAAACAAGTTGTGCAATGAATTTGGAGGCAAATTCGACGTGTTGCTATTGCACACAGAATTGCGTTGGTTATCACGAGGAAAGATGCTGCACCGAGTGCTCGAGCTTCGAGAAGAAATTAAAATGATTCTTGAAAGGAAGGAGCTGCATAAGGGTTACAAGTAATGATAACAGCCAACGTATTTCAGATTCTTGGAAGATACTTGGGACCGACCGAGTAGTCAGGAATTCAGAGTTTTGGAAACAATCGTTTGGTATAGTAGTTTGGCAACGTCTCGCACTTGACACAAGGGTTCCGTCAGACCAGGTGAATCAGCATGCAATTGGGGCGGGATTTTATAGCGAACAGGGGCGATAACCGCGTTACCCGAGACTTGAGCCATGGTGTCATTACAGTAACAGTTCGTGATGTCACCTCAGGTGGTTCAATCACAGTGGCGAACGGTCTTAAGCCGGCCAGCCTGACGAGCATCGGTGCGTGGATCAGATTGTAAAGTGCAAACCGACTCCCACTGTCAACACTACGGGCTAATCCGTCAATGCCATGACGCACAAAGGAACACCTGGACTATTCCCACTGTGATTAAACCACCTGAGGTGACATATCGAACTGTTACTGTAATGACACCATGGCTCAAGTCTCGGGTAACGCGGTTATCGCCCCTGTTCGCTATAAAATCCCGCCCCAATTGCATACTGATTCACCTGGTCTGACGAAGCCCATGTGTCGAGGGCGAAACGTTACAAAACTACTATACCAAGAGATTGTTTCCAAACCTCTCTGAACTCAAGCCAACATATTTATTTCTAAACTAGCATATCTTGCGGATTTCTTCGGAGAAATAAATGCGCTGAATCTCAACTTGCAAGGAAATATGATTAATATTTTCACTGCTCAGGATAGGGTTGCCAGTATTCGTCGCAATTTGCAGATTTACCAACGCAGAGCTACAGTTGACGACGTGTCGAAGTTTCCAGAACTAAAAATGGTGCTCATTGAAAGAAATGAAAAATGCACATTCAGAGATGATATAACTTGTTACTCGTTATCAGTGGTGCATCCCATCAGCAAATATTTTCCTGATTTGGAAAATCGCCAAGTAGGTGCTTGGGTGCTAAGACCCTTTTCAGTGGATAAAGAAATGTTTCCAGATACTGAAAGCGAAGTAAAAGCACAATTCCTAAAAATGCGCGATAGTGAATCGAAAATAGATTTACAAAGCATACAACTGGTAACATTTTGGGCAACGATATGTGGTGAGTATCCAGTGCCATCGGAAAGAGCACTGACCCCATTCGCAAAAGCTTTTAGATGTGAAAATGGATTTTGGACAATGGTGACAATGAAAACAACAGCAAGGAATCGAATGAACATGGAGCACGAATTATGATGTGCCTTAGCCGAAACAGTACCAAGTATACCAGAAAGTGTTAGCGCTAAGCCGTCTCATTGAAGTATATCGTCTCTTGATAGTATATAATGTTGCAGGAAAAATAACTGTTTTCTTTATTTTAATGATCGAGAGTAATTCCGAACGGTTATCTCCTCCCGTAATTCGAAACAAAAGCGCGATAGTTATACGTTAGTTAGCGTCCGAAACGGAAATTTGGGGTGGGGTTTGATTATAGTAAACCTGATTTGTGAGTAATAGCCTCAGAAATGTTGAGAACCGCTGGTGTACAGCAACATGCGGAAAAGATAAATGTGATATAGTTTTCTAACAGCACCATCAAATTCGCACCCAGGACATGTGTAGGAATACTTTGGACACGATAATTAATGAAAGACTCATGTTTTTTCCTTGCCCTACACTCAGATGAGCGGGCTGACTTTACATCTTGTTCCGAGCTACTTGCTTATGTTCAGTGTGTAAAAAGCGAAGACTTCAAAGAGAGTGCTTGTTTTAAGAATCAGTGAGCACCACTACACGACTTGCGAATGCATTAGCCGAAACCGCACCACACATGCCAGAGACTGGTTAATCATTATATCTTGATTTGATGAAAAATTGCTCAAAAATGGTGTTCTTTGTTTGCATGATCAAAAGTAATTACATAGGGTATTCATTTTCCGTACTTTAAAGCAAAATGTGCAATAGTTAGTACGTAATTGGATTTTGAAAATTTGGGGGTAACTGCTTATATTGAACCCGGTTTGTGGGTAACGGCCTCCAAAAGGTTGGGAACCACTGGCTTAGAGAGAACGAATGAAGACAGCAAAGTAACGCTCGCAGCGAATTGAGTTTCGTAAATAATACTAAGGGACGAGAATATCGTGGCATGTCCCCGGGAAGGGCCCAGTGCCGTACAGCTATATCCGAATGACAATTCCGATTCAGGTTAAAGGTGAACAATAGCTGTAAAAGCCTGGTACAACCGTTAATACGTCAGAGTTCAGTTGCGTGAAGAGCTCACTTTTGCCTCACGTACGGCCACCAGGTAGTGAAACCTAGCAACAACCGCAGAGCAAGACCATTACAGATGTTTCAACTCCAGTTCACGAGGATCGGTGTAATACAAAATGGATAAAAAAGCGCCCATAACATATAAGTAGAAAAACAAAACATAAAACTTTGTGAGTGATAGCCGCGCAGCTTGCAGTTGTGTTAAATGGATCATTGAGTCCCCACATACCAGTAACCTGTCGATGTTATACCAACAGTGACAACTCGATGTTGGTACACAAACATCCTAGAAGGTACAAACCAGGGTAACAGAAAGGACCAAAACCACTACAGCGGCTTCAAAAAGCAAAGTCCAAGTGAGTCGTTTCTAAGGTTGTAACTTCGGATGAATTGTGAGGAACGCTGTGGCTCGAGGGAAGGAGGCAATGTCCAAGAACCTATGAAAGCGCTGTTAAACGCTAGGCAGCAGTTGGTGAACGCAAATCAGTGTTTGGGGATGGGAGTACTACTAATGGTACCAGAAATTAAAAAACCATGCAGTAATCATACCACGTTGACTTCGGCTTGAGTGGCTTGTTTCAAGGTGTCCATGACAACTGGAAGATAATCCATAAATTCCGCTTCAAGGGAAAGAGACAGGTCCCCGAAAACAGAAATGATGGCAGGCCGCAGAGACTTGTTTGCATTCACGTCCTGTGGAGTCAGCAAAATGAAGGGGCAACATACAGGAGCGGTAAGCAAATAGTGATGCTAATCATCAGCAGGTGCCAGATAAATGAAGCGAATGTTACACGAGACTAATTCGAAAGGTGACATAAAAATAGGTAGTAAGATGAAACAGCAGTTAAAAAAGGCTAGGTAAATGTTCACAACGTACTTGGCATATCTTGCGCCGATACCAACACGACAAAAAAGACACTGTGGATATAACGCCGCATAGCTCTTTCAACCAGTATTATACCTGGTTTGGCGAAGCCCAAAAGAAGTTGACCGATGAAATGACACAGTATCAAGTGGTGTGCGTTGCTTTTCTGAGTAGGAAGATTCGGAACTAATATCCCGCTTATGAATAACGTTGAAGGTGCATGGAACAACGCAATCTTATATGCTTTCATTGCAGAACAAGCAAGCAAACCTGACTGTGGCCTCCCGGAACTCTCCCGTGGATTACATGATTGTGAACATGATCGCATCATCTCCAAAATGAACAATGCCTAGTAAGGAACGATGCTCAGAGTTGAAGCCCTTAGAGTGAAAAGACCACGTCACACTACCGCTTCGATCCTGAATACCTAGCCCTAGAACCAGGTGAGATCCCGTCTAGCGGTGAAACCGTAACAAATGCCTGGACCTAGTTGTGGCTTCCGTAAAACACATGAAACGGTTTCGCCAAAGGTCCATAATCACTAAGGTAGTCGTAAAGAGTTGTGTGATTTAATCAACTACCTTCAGTTCCTCGTCACAGAAAAAATGGTTGGGAATGATGATGGTCCAGCAAAATGTCGGCTGGTCGACTGAGCAGATGAGAAGTCAATGCATGAGTAGTGTGCAGAAGGTGAATTAAGTGCTGTCCATGTGCAATGATCAGGACAGTATGGAATTGGCGTGGGTTGGCACGAAGCAGGTTTAACGTGGCCTTAGAGAATACAGGAGTTGGTTAGACCAAGTGCAGCACATAAAAAGTGCATGCATGCTAAGGGAGGCAAACAGACGGCATAAGACGTGACGAAGTGAACTAACCAAGAAGCTGCAGCAATCGAAATGTTCGACTTTAGTGTGCGATACAAATGATAACGTTCAATGAGTGATTGATTTTGATCATTGCGTGAATTGCTTTGACACTCGGAGGGCTATACAACACGAATTGAATTGATCACGTTGTTACGGCGCTTCGCTTCCGCGCGACTACCACCAGTCGCGCCCGGGATGGGTATACCACGAGGACGCCCGCTCCTACGTGGACTCGAATCGGTGACCTCATGAGTGCAAGCCAGGTGTACAGACCACTCGGCTACCGGTCGGCTTCGAATCCGAAAATATGCCCAACGTTACCATGGGAACCAAAGAAAGTTTCCAGACACCGCGGACAGTACACCGTTGTTTAGATACGAGAGAGACCGATAGTTGCGCGAGCTAGTACCTGTCTGTGAATCCACCGTAGAGGGTTTGCTGGTGCTACTCGATACAAACGACGCATTGGTGATGCAAATTGTTGCTTTAGTGAACACGGTGAACAACTGCGAGCTTAAGAAAACATGCAGCCTAGAATAGTACATTTGGATCGTTCAGTAGAAGGCTAGAAAAATGGACAATCACTTGGCGCTCAAATACCTTGCAGTTGGGGCCCTCATTTGGACTCAGAATTAACCCAAATTCATTAGCGATAGGTGGCGTAAATCAGCCGAGAACATCCGGTTGTAGTTGATGGACCTTCGTTCGCATGTGCGCACATTGGGTAGTGTTTTTTGTGTGGAGGAATATGAACAGGCATTCCAAGGTAGAGCTGCCACAGCAGCAGGGGTGAAAAGTGCGCCGTTGATGAGTACATATTGGAGCTCAACGGAAGAACTGACAGAAGGGTGTCTACATACACTAGAAGAGGAGAGGCTATTTCATACAGCAATTGGATCTAAGGTAATCATTGGTTATGAGAGCGTATAGTTTATGGTCCCACGAAAAAATCCTGCTGCAGATGGCTTAGTCGGTTCATAGAAACCGAGTGGGTGTTAGCAACTGGGACAGAAAGTTACATCGGATGCCACCACATTGCTAACCTGTTCAAGGTATGCGTAATGCTGAATTAGGTGGGAAGATTGCTTATGAGGAATGGTAGCTAGTGCCATGACAGAGCGGCCTCATCGCTGCATAAGGGATAGTGGTTTGTGACCACGTGCTGATTAGGAAGGTTTGCTAATAAGAGCATTTACAATGGTCCTCACAAGGACTTGACCCAAGTAGATCGGCAGTGATATAAAAAAGTAATGTATAACCGTTCCGTCAGTACAGGTCTCTCAATCAGTGTGCAACCACTTGGCCCGATGAAGGTTGCAAAGCCATGAGCATGAGAGGAGACGCAGAATAATGCTATTGACCCGTGAACGCCGGCAGCCAGACAGGAGTAGCTAGGTGTAGGTAGTATAAGTAGTGAAGCCTACTCGTCTCCGACGTGCACATTAGTGTTGCGCGGAGAGCAAGGAGGCTTGCCGGAGCGACGGTCTTCCAAACACGCGATGAATCTAAGTCAAATCCCCTATGGTCTAACTTTAGATAATACTCTAGCCGGGCTACGTCTGCTGCTCTGGGTTAATCGGTAGCTTGAATATGGGAAGCCATGACTAGAGGATGCCCCACCCATTCCATTGCAGTAACGTGGTGGTCAGCGTAAAGTGAACTCGGTTATATTAAAGCCAGTCGCTAGAGAATGTCGGTTGTTGGTGTTAGGCATGAATTAAAGGTATATACACTGTCCACAAAACGATAGGTAAAGGTTTCGAACCGGCAAATATGCCCTTTGGCGTTACCGTTGGAATTAAACAAGCTTAAAGATATCACGTAAAACATACGCTTTTGTTAGGACACGAGATAGATTGATAGTTAGCTCAAAATTGCAGATGAAAAATGATGTGGCCTGTTATGAATCGCGAACGTTCCGACCTCAAAGTCCAAACCTTAGACCCAGAACAGAAGTCGAAAGACATCAGCAAGGAACACTATCTTACGAGAAGATAAAACAAGGTGGATAGAAGATGATTTCATTCGTTTATAAAGTCCTTCTACAAGATGACCTTGAAAGTGTAAATGTAAAACTGTCATCGGATGAAGCAAGAGCACGACTGTGAGACAAGCGAATCATCCTCGAGCCGTAATGCTATACGCTCTATTCGATCGATTTCGTTAGGGTCTGAGTCCCCTAACATCCCCCCTTTCAGCTTCGGGTTCACCTGCATCGGAATCTGACTTACGGCCTCGATCCGACCATTTTGGCGCTAACTCCGATATACAGGTAGGAATTGGAGTCTCCTGTTCGGTTTTGGAGTCTTCTGGGTTGATATGGAACATGTCGAGGAGCACATGTAACGGTAACACGGTGCGCATTGATAATGCATCCGGGAAAGAACGGGATTGTAACTGGTTGGCGTGTCGGACCCAAACCTCAGAATAAGTAACGGCGCTTCGATGCCGCGCGACCAACATCAGTCGCGCGCGGGCTGAGTATACCGCGAGGACGCCCACCTCTACGCGGATTTGAACCGGAGACCTTAGGGTTGCAAACAAGGCGCGCAGACCACTCGGCCACCGGCAGAGTCCTGGAGTCCAGGTAACATGGTTGTTACGGTAGTCATTGGCCAGCACAGGTTGCCCTTGGAAGAAAACTCGGTTCTGAGCATCGTGTCTCCTGTTGAATCGCTGTTCCATTTTGCAGTTTCGGTTCAGGCTGTTCCTGTCAGCTGGTTTAAGCAAATTGAGGCTGGATCGCAATTTACATTGCATCAGCCGGAGATTTAGCTTAAGGGACCTACGGATTTGGCGTCATCCTGTAGGCATAAAGAAAAGTTTCAAAGATTTCGGCCGTCGGTCCCTTTCCCCTCGCCTTCAGTAATGCTCTCTTGAAGGTGTCTACGAATCTCTCTGTTAGGCCATTCCACTGTGGATGAGAGAGGTGACCTCATGCGGTCTATGCCGTTTTTGTTACAGAAGTCCTCAAAAATCGCTGAAGTGAACTGAGTTCCGTTGTCAGTTACTAATGTGTCCGGATACCCGAAGCGACTGGAAACCTGACGAAGTGCAGTAGTGGTCACTGAGTCAGTAGTCGATGGCATGTGCAGTACTTCTGGCCACTTAGTGTAGGCGCCAACCAGGATAAGGAAATTGTTTCCATTAATAGGTCTTGCATAATCAGCATGGAGCCTCGACAACGGTTTCTCAGGATCCGACCAACAATGGCGCTCTGCCTTCCCTGGCGACTACGAAGCAAGTGCACATTTAGAGCAAGCTCTTCGGTTTGAGCATTCAGATGAGGCCAGTACACGTAGCTTCTGGCCAATGCTGTTATAGGGTTCAGTCCCGGGTGTCCGGTGTGGGACTGCTTCAATACCCTAGGCTGAAGTTTCTGCAAAGATTAGACAGCTGTCGACAATTGACAGGGAGTGGCGACGTCGATGAAACTGCTTCAGTTCACTGTATTCAATCCTCTGTGGTCACTGTGATCTGCGGAAGCATTTCAGTTGCTGGAGCAGGGGATCATGTGAAGTTGCGACACGCATCTGAGAAGCTGTTACTGGAATGGCTTTAATTGCATCTGTGACAAAGCAGCGAACTTCAGGCTCGATCGAGATGCTTGTCACTACAACGTCCTCTGGTTCCTGCCGGTCTTTGTCCATGAGACGTGATAAAGCATCGGCTTGACCAATGTTCCCAGTCGATTGGTAGTTAATTTTTAAGTCATATCCCAAAAGCATTGTGGACCACCTCAGAAGGCGAGTTGCTGAGTATATGGGAATGCGCTTCTCGGAACCGAAGATAGCAAGCAGGGGCATGTGAGTCGTGACCAGTGTAAAATGACAGCCATAAAGCATTTTGTGAAATTTCTTAATGGCATATATGATCGCCAATGCTGCTTTTTCAATTTGCCTGTAGTTGCGTTCTGCGGGCACCAACGATCTGGCGGCGTGAGTAATTGCCTTCATAGTTCCGTCAGGAAAGCGTTGAGATATAACTGCGCCTACTCCGTAATTAGACGCATCTGTAGCAACAATGATATCCAAGTTCGGATCGTAATGAGTCAACAGCGGATCTGATGATAGCATGGTTTTGATCCTGTCAAAAGCTTGCCTGCATTCCGTGCTTCAACACTACTTGGATTCTTTGAGCAGTAATGCGTTTAGTGGGCCCGTATGTCATGCGTTGCTGGCAAAAATGCACTGCAATGGCTCACCAATCACATGAAGGATCGTGGTGTCGTCACATCATGTGGTGGAGGCATTTTCTGAATGATCTCAAAATTAGCGGGGTCTGGTCGTCGACCATGTTGATTAATGATGAATCCCAAGTATCCCAAGGCGAAAGCCATACTCTTGGATTCGATCATGCACGTTTTCAATCCGATCCTCTAGATCCACCGGATCGGTGGCCATGACGATGATATCGTCAAGATATGCTGCAACACACGGGACTTCAGGTAACATGGTGTTGAAAAAGGGCAGGTGCCATTTTTACTCCAAATTGTAGGCGAGTGTATCGAAACAAACCGCGGTGAGTATTGATGGTCACCAGCTCCTGCGAATCCTCAGAAACATCCACCTGGAGGTATGCATCCGACAAGTCCAGTATGGCGAAATATCTGCCACCATTTAGCCTTGCGTACAAATCATCCGACGGAGGCAACGGATATTGGTGGCTTTCCAGAGCAGCATTCAGACCAGTGGGGAAGTCTGCACAAATTCGAGCACAAATTTTCGAGCACGAAAATGATTCGCTAATAAAGACGTACACAAAACGGTGGATGCACCGTAGTATGCTCAACACTGGGTGCATGGTACCACCTTTTGAGCCTAGCACGGCCACGAGAATTGTGTACCCAGTCCCCCCGAGCAACGATTGAGGTGGAGGGTGTTAGACAAGTTGGCAACTTGTCAAAATTCACACCAAGCGCAGCCACACCTAGGATATTGAACAATCAAGGTAGGGAAAGCAAACACGGAAAAATTTACACAGAATATGCAGCAGAGTAACAGAATTGAACAAGGCAAATAAAAAGGAATGACTTTCATCCAGATTAAAGACCTAGGTTAAGTGTAAGTTGGTTTAGCCCAACAGAGAACTGCAACATGTGAATAAATACAACACGATGGAACGAAGGTGGAGATTTGCTACCAACGTGTAGTCAGGGGAGCATGGCCGCACAAGACGTTTGCCACAGGGTGCGTGTTGTTGCCATACCTGAGCGTTTCCAAGCAAACGTGTTTGCAGATCCGCGCGCCACTAGTACAGGTGTCGAGAGTGCCCGAGCACAGCTAACTTTGAGGCAAGCGGCTTCATACCTGGAACCCAAGCCACATGTTGGCCAGTTTGCTCTCGCTGAGATGACATGCGAGGCATGTGTACAATCGACCGATGTCTGCACAATGAAATTTATACGGCTGAGGTCGGCAGTCTAGCGGAACATTACCATTACGATGATGCTGTCATCGTACGCCGATATTGCTCCGAAAGCAGCAGTGATGAAAGGTAGACAGCCTCTGAACATCTTTTGCGCGAGAGTACCAAGTATCGTAACCATGAGGAGTGACTGTTCGTACAATAGCATTGTAGACGGCACTTCAGAAACCGAGGTCGAGTCGGCGCCATCGACTGTTGAGTTTAGCAAAGTCAACCCGAACCTTAGAAACGGGCAAGGAGACCTTGTCCTAGTGTGCAACATAGGAGGGCTAGTTGCTTGGTGGAGATGCAAGCTAAGACGCTGGGACCATGGGTACCACAGGGTAGATGCATGATTTCTAAAAGACTGCTCAGTGTCCTGGTTCACCCTCAGTTTTCCCCTGCCAAATTTTGAAACGACGACAGGTCATGGCAACAAGAAGCACCGAAAATGCAACACATTATGTAGCAAGCATTCAAGAAAAACAAAAGCTGGACCGAGTTAGAAGAGCAGACGGTGCAAGCTTGATGAGATCGCGTCTCGTCATTCCACCTTAGAAAGGAACTGGAATCCTGGATCGGTGGACCGGACTTCAGTGTAGGGTTATGGATTGTGTGCGTAGCGCTCTCATGCGCGGGGCTAGCATCAGACACACAACACGAGGGAAATGTACATGGTGTGGTGAGAATCCTATTGGTAACAGACACATCTTTCCCTGTCTTTTGACTGTGTTCAAAAGCACACTGTTTGAGTAAGGGGACTCTAAGCGTTAGTGTCAGGTCGAAAACAAGGAGGGCACTGATTAATAATTGGTCAAGGTATACGTCATTTAATGTGGATTCGTGTCCGCTGTATGACAGGAAAACATCAAAGAATTGAAAGATAAACTGAAAAAAGCTATAAAACGGAGTCAACTGTTTTGAGATCTTAGTCAAATGAAAGTAGCTGGTCAATAAGAAACGAACCTGTAGGATTTCCATTAGGATAGTGAAGAGGTAACTGCAGTGCGGGACCATGTGCTTTTTCAGTACACGGAAGAGATCTCCAAGCAGCCCAACCGCATTGATGCATATTTGGGTTTCTCGGAAATTGCGCAAGCAAGCAACGAGAATCGGCATGAACAAATCAAGGTATTTGACAAAAAGCTCTCCAACAGCCTCCAACAAAGCGGATACGGCAAGCAGAGCGTCTTCGTGAACTCCCCCGGATAAGCCACTCTTCTGTTCGCCATTGACCAAAAGCTGGTCTCCGCCTCCCTGTGCCAAAGACGCGCCGGTGGAACGGAACATGGACACCAGAGCCAACATGACCTGTGAAAAGTGCAGCGGCGGCAGGGAGAAAGACGGAAATCGTGAAATTTGCATGAAGTCATATAAGGTATGGAGTAAATATGCCGTGGTTCTTTATCGCTCGACGGATGGACAAAAATAGAAGTGAAGGGTACGGCGGATGAGAGGAAAAGCGGATCGCCGTGTTTCCTCTCAAACCGCACACTCACCGAATACACGCGCAAACCTCAATGGGGAAGGGAAACGGGCAAAGCATCACATTAAATAAAGGCAGCCATAGCATCAGGGTCTGTAATGAGAGCGTGGAATCGAGGTGAATAGATCGTATCTGAGATAACAAGCAGGCAACCAAATGTATTGGAACCGAACAGGGACAGCTGACCGTCTGCGAGGTCCGCTGATTGGGTAAATCCGTTTGGCTGTTACAATGAAGTAAATTCGCTCGGTTCAAGGTATGAAAACGGTGCCGCTACGATGGATGGTATCAGTAAACGTATGGCTAACTGTTGAGGGCCGTGCATCCAGCTGGACCGCAGACCCAATTTTAGTGGATAAATAGCTATAGCACATTTAGTAACTTAGTCACGTCGGTTGTTACCGTTCTTCGTAGCCCAGTGGTCTTCACCACGGGTTGGTAACGGTCTGGCTGCAGGTTCTAGCCCCACATGGGTCAGATGGAAAGCGAATCACTGGCGATTCCCGAGAGGATGAAACGGCTGTACAGTGCTTTTCCGTGAGGGCTGTTTGACTGAGCCTAGATGTAATGAATTTACACTCATACCAAGCCGTTTATTCTTGAAAGACCGGTTATAACGGTAGCCCATGGATATAAGTAGAATGAAAGTAAGAAAAATAGCGCAACAGAAAAAGGGGAGGAGAAAACAACCGACGGAATAGAAGGCTTTAATTTGAAAGGCTGTATGGAAGTCGACGAGGAAAGAAAAAGAAAAACAAACGATATCGTCGAAAACCGATGCCAAAAATTACATCTATTCACTTGTTCACCAACTCGGGGCCCCCAAATGTGAGACATCGTGGGACTGTTTGACTCAGATATCACAATGGGTCTCCATTCTGCGATCCATTGCGCAACAGCACGCGTCCATTGCTCAACAGCTGTTCTTGAAAACAACCCGAAGGTGGCAGAAAGTTCTTGTATATTAACAGACTAGGCGCATACTACCTAGTAAATGATAAATCTACAAATCCACAAACAGGTAAGCGCAGATAGGTCAATAGTTTGAGGCTGCTGGGCACAGGTGACTCTATAATAAGAGTTGTGTACGAAACTGGCGTGTATGCGGCCAAACTGAACATCCAACCAATCACGCTGTCGCGAAAGCCTGCAACAGCCAGATAGACAAGGAAAAGTAGACACTGGCTTAAACGTTAAGGAATCTGCCAAAAAACTATATATATTCGCCTGATGAAACAAAATAACCTGCAGCTTTCATGCACACAAGATGTGAGTAGTACGAGGTGTGTTCAAAAAGAAACCGAACTTTTGAAGTATTGCGCCAACCGGCAGAGGGAGTGCGCTGCAGCTACTGAGCGCATGTGGAAACTTATTTAGATAACAAACGGCCATTTGCCGCATTTCGTTGTGACTGCTGGCGAACTACAGCTGCTGAAGTGAGCACGTGCACAAGCTGTTCGTCGGACTAATGCTAAAGAGGCAATGAAAGAGCCTGAAGAACGTGTGTGTGAAACTTTGCTAAAAAGCTAGCAAAACTTTTACGGACATTACAATTGCTTAGCCAAGCCTACGAGGAGGACTGTATGAGTCGCACGCAGTGCTATAAATGGTTTAAGTGTTTTGAACACGGCAGAATGTCGGTCGGTGACGATCCCAAGCCTGGACGACCTTCCACATCAACAGACGATGACCATGTCGAGAGAGTTCGTGCTGTGATCCGTGGAAATCGCCGTTTAACTGTTCGAGAAGTTGCTGACGAAGTGGGCATCAGCGTAGGATTATGCAATCAAATTTGAGTAACAAACTTGAGATGCGTCGTGTTAGTGCTAAATTTATGTCACGTTTATTGACTGATGATCAGAAACAGAACCGTGTTGGAATCAGCCAGGAATTGCTTGTCACTGCCAATGATGATGAAAAGTTCCTTAAGAACATCATAACAAGCGATGAGACGTGGGTTTATGGCTACGATAATGAAACGAAGGTGCAGTCGTTGCAAAGGATGGGGAAAGGGTCTTCTCATCCAAAAAAGCATGCATGAGTTGGTCAAAGATCAAGGTGAGTTTTGTTGTGTTCTTCGATTGCAAAGGCGATGTCCATCAGAGATTTGTACCACGTGGCCAGATGGTAAACAAGGAAGTCTACCAGGGAATTCTAGCACGTTTGAGGAGTGCTGTGCGCAGGAAGAGGCCTGAACTGGTTCATAGTAGGCCATTAACAAAGTATAGTTTCAAAGAAATAAAGATAGAAGGAACATCGGCAGTACACCGGTATAAAGTACCGACGCTTTGCCGCCGCGCAACTATCACCAGTCCCGCGTGGGCTAAACATGCTACGAAAGTCGTCCGGTCCCCTAAGCAGGCTCAAACCAGCGACCTCAGTATTACAAGTCAGGCTTGTGATCCTTAAAGCCACGGGCTGGAAAGAAGATCGGTTCTTAGAGAGCCGTAAGTCGCAACTCGTGGAAGCTGAGTAAGCAAGAAGAGCCACTAACAAGACCTAAAAATAATCGCAATGCGAGCGCAAAATTGGTGCTATGAAAGCGGGTCCCAGATGTGTGATAAGCAGCAATAGCACATGTGTTCAGTATTCAAGTTAGTGCTGGCTGTTGCAGCCTGCTATGCGATGCGAACGTAGAAAGGCGGTAACGCAAGCCCGGATCGACTTCAACTGTAGTCACAGAATTGGCTTGCAGATTTGTTACACGCTGGTGACACTTCCGACCTGATGAAAGTGATGTGGTGAACTCAGGTTCGAAAAGTAACTGGAAGGAAGAGTTCGGAGTTTCATGCAGAGTACGAAAAGTTAATCAAGTTGGTGACTTTGACGAGAGATGAAGATGTCAAACAGGGCAGTTGGCACACTAGCTCTCTTCCCTAAGTACGTAATAAATGCAACAGATTGGGTGTTGTTAGGCGTCTTCTACGATAAAAGGTTAAGCGAAGTATCGAAAAGCGGGGAGAATAGCGGACAATCCTTTTGACTTTCCGAGAGTCGTTAACAACACGTACTCGGCTAACTAGGCAAAGAGTAGGGAATGTGGCTCAGGTTTTGTGGGACAACCTTCGAAAGTGACAAACCACAATAGCAGCCTGCGTAGGTGTAGAGCTGAACGACTGTCGTACACGGTGCTGTGCGCAGAATGTCAATGACCCATGTGATGAGGTAGATCGCCAATTTGAACGCAAGCGCTTTGTTGCGAACAGAGCTAATCCGGGGGATTTGGTAATGAGCATAGTAAGACGCGGACAGCGGAGTTGAAAATCAACCAGTGCCTTGTATAACTTTGGAATTGATGGCTTTCCTGTGCAATGTACCGGAAAGGGGTTGTAAATTTGTCACAATGGAAGAAACGACCCACAAATGATCCGGAAAGAAATTTAAATTTTCCCCGCAAAGACATTAATGTCAGAAATAAAACAAAGTGATGGAACAATAAGATTGCGTGGAAAATCCCCAATTCGGTTCAGAAAATTCGGGCGGTTCAAATAATGCCTCTACTCGCTTGAAAATGGGCCGAATCGTATACGCATCACAATTTTTTGTATCTCACCTATCTGATGTCAGATGAATCAATAAGTGCAGGTGACGTGATGCGACTCGGCAGCCGTTGTTGTGAACACGTTTTTTGTATATAAAAAATCAATGAATCATTATGTTAACTAGATAAAGTGTGATGGACACGATATTGCTTTCAACGAAAACCGAGAAGGAATTAGAAAATCTAATTAGGTGGTTAAATGGATGCACTGATCAGAATTGTTGGTACGCTTGGCTATAGGGGGTCCGATTTCTCAGGTGATCACCTTCGGACTGCCTTTCATTCACAAGACCGTAGTGGTTACACTTGCGGGACTGTCGTTTCGAACGTCGTGCCAAATGAGAAGGATCCGAGAACACGATGCAGAGTTTAGCCTTCATCCCGATGATTTTTTGAAGCTCATATACAGCGGAGAGAACACTTTTTAAAAAATCGTGATGCGAGGTCGCGGAATAACCTAGCAGTCTCGATTGATAAGCAACCAGACTACTTCTATCAACCATCTTCGGTATCATTCGCCTCCGTAAAAGCACATACACCAACGTATCGGTGACCTCAGAAATGTGCCAGCCCTTGGACAGCACAAAGTGAGTCGTAGTAGATAACCAATTGGGATCAATTCCCCAGCGAACAGCAAAAACCAGCCGTCGCCATAAGGATGCTCGGTGGCCAAGTGGTAGATACGACAGGTAACGACCATGAGGTCCCCGGGGATCAAACAATGGTCGGGGACAAAACATCTGTGGAGGAAACTGCTGAGAACGGAAAATCGTGAAGTGTTAATAAAAAGGAACCCTGTAGAACAGTTGTTGGACCATATGAGGAATATATATAGAACAGACATCAATTCAGGTACACACATTTTACTTCGATAATAGGTTGATGAGTTGGATGGCTGATATATGGCAAAATTCGCGCCAGCAAGTCAGAGGAATGTAGAAGGGAAAACTCGATAGCAAATAACAGATAATTACTGCAATAACGTGTTAGATAAGCGCGATGAAGCAGTAAAACATGGGCAGACAATTATTCAGTAAGTTATGGAGGCTGGAGAAATACTTGGCGAAGTGTTGCAGCTGGGACAATAACAATCAGCTGATGGAGAAAATAGTGAAGTAACAGAGGTTCCCGCAAATAAAGCGGAATGGAAAACCATGAGTGAAGTTAAGATGGACAAAACACTTGCTAACCTTATCTGAGATTGCTGGAGCATCGTCTTTGCTGATTTTTCGAAGCACAGACTGCAACGTGCCGCATAGCAATGACTGCAGATCATTAAACTGAGCGCGGTCATGGGTGGAGGCAACTTGGCTCTCTAGTCCTATGATGGACTCTAATCGTTCCAAAACCACGACCGTAACACGTTGTACCTCACTGTAGCAATCCTGAGCGGCGGATCGGATCAAAGCCATCAGAGCAGAGTAAGCAGCATTACGCAAGTTGTGTTGCCCACCATCTGGTCGACTAGTGGTCGCTAAAAGTCGATCAGCGATGGCGTTGAAATATCGAGATAATGCGTAAGTCCTCGGTTCGCCTGAAGGGCCAGTTTTGTCTATAAAAAAGTATAGCATAACGCTGTTGGAAGGAACAAGAGCAACAAATACAGCAACTTAAGTTGCCGCACATCAGACTCTACAAAAACAATATCGTATAAAGAAGATGGACAACAGGAAAGACAAAGAGCTAAAAGCGCCAAAACAATCAACTCAACGAAAGGAACGAATGTTTGCGTGTGATATAATAAGGCGAACTTTTCATACCTGCCGGTTCGCCTGCGGCCACATCATATGCACTTTCAGCTAGGCTGGAGAAGGCCCAACAAACGTTAGCTGCGACACGCGGCTCTGATGATAGTCCATCTACCAACCCAGTCAGAAGTGGCATCAGATACGTCTCTTGCAGTGCGACTTCCGGTAATGTTTCGCAAACTCGGCCGATCGTCCAAGCTACCGTGTCACGCACCGCAGCCGACTCGTCTCGGAGGAGCTCTATAATTACGGGCATCGCGGACTCCACCAATGGCTAACAAATGGAGGAAAGAAACAAGTACAAACATACTCAAATGTGAAGAAATAGAACCACGATAAGTTTCCATGGACTTGATACATGTGTGAAGTGCACAAGTGGGAGGGAATAAATCCAATAAATAAATGTCATAGGGAAGGGGTGTATCGTTCTACACTTTAGCATAGTGGTTCTCAACCATTTGAGGCTGGTACCCACAAAGCGGGTTTCCCATAAACAATTACCCCAAAAAACTTTGGTTTAAAAACCTAATTAACTATTACCTATTGCATATTTTGCTTTAAATTATAGAAAATGAATACCATTATTAATTACATTCCATCATTTAGATAAAAAAACACCTATATTTGAGCAACTTGTTGTTAAATCAATAGGTGATGTACGTTAATGAGACGGCTGGTATTGCTTGCTTCCAATAATTTCTGGTGTCTTTGGTGCGGCTTCGGCTAATGCACACTGTAAACAGTGCTCCAAGTTCATTCGGCTCCTTGCATTCGTGTGTGATCCCTGATCAAACAAGAACAGATGTCAGTAGCTTCTCATTTGTTTCAACCATGCTTCCAAGTCCATCCTGATTGACAGCTTTTTAACACCAATCTGTACCGATACATCCTGAACACTAATGGCTTGTTTTGTACTTTCTACCTTGTAATTATTCGATCGCTCCCTTACCTGGTGGTCTGATTTATGCTCCCACCTTAGTGTTCACCCAATTTTGTAATTCGACGAGGCGAACGACTGCCAGAATCAAAGGAACAACGATCAACGAGCTAGCTTATAGAGACGCCATCTAAGTGTGTTGATTTGCCGGTTGGTATCCGTAAGGAAATTTATTACCTAATGTTAATCAATGATGGTTAGTCAATAGTGATCAGATAGTTACTTACATGCATTGATGTAACGATTTTGGTAGTAATTTTGTCTGGCGACAGACTGATAACCCAATCCTCGTACTTAGATTTACTCCCTTGGGGGTAAGTACCCCAAGGTTGAGTACCACTGCTCTAGCAGAAGACGCAGGGCATTTTACTAATTCGGCGTATGCTCCTACCGAACGCAACCAAGGTTTTAAAAATGACTTGGAATCGGACAAACCAATTGCTCATCCGCACAGTCAGGAACACGAGTTTTTCAGACGTGACAGAAAGCGTGATTATAAGGATTGATTGACTGATGAAGGTCGGACGTCTAGAATGTGAGTAGGGAGCCCATTCTCATCGTACTAGTCACGTCGATCAGTTTCGCCAATTGCGCGATGAAAACTCACGTATTTGTAGGACAGCTTTCCAAAATAAACATACATTTGGTATCACCTCATGGTCCACTATCTAACACACTACAGTGCAACGAAATGGACTGCATTGCCAGTGCAAGATGTCCGTGAAAATAATGTACCCACGTAGACTCCGACCGCGCCCACATAGGACGTGAAAAAGGGTAGATGAATTCTTGTGGTGTTTACTAATATAAGCTGAAGCATGAAAGTCGATTGCGTCGGGTTAACAACTGAAAGGAATGGCCAACACACAGAAGCACTGTTACCCTGGAAACTATAAGACTGACCGAAGGTGATGATGGTTAGTAAAGGCCTGTGAAGTGAAAAAGTTAAAAAAACAGGAAGAACTGTGTGATGCTCCGGCTAGTCTATAGGACGGGATCAAGGAAGACCGCACTGAATTAAGTGATACTTGAGAAAATGGACAATGAATGAATTGAACGGCGAACGAAACAATCTGAAGACCAATTCAGGCGAGCAGCTATGACGTTACTATCTGCTGAGTCCGCTAGTCCCATTTAGTATGTGGATGCCTCTTATCTCATTTCTGAAGTCACTGTTAGAACAGAACATGTATTTTCGAAAAACCATCTCTTCACTTTCTTTGCTGAGAGGCAGTGGTGACTCGATGGTTTTCAGCTTTGTTGTTCTATCAAGCACTAGATGATAAGCTGGGGTGCCGTCACACCGTTGGTTGTCGACCAGCACTTGCCGCTTGATTTATGGTAACCAAAAGATGCGTAACAATCAACAAGGAGTCCGCACTATTGCAGCTGCCTCCAAGCTCGTGCGGATAGCGTCAGTGAAAGATGGTGACTACCATAGTAGCAGAGGATGCAATGACAATCGGTAAGCGCTGGAATAACGCTATGTATATACAGAAGGCATATCAAGACAATCATCATAGATGTAACAGCAACAACTGATCCAGTTGATTGCGGCTATTCGTGAGGTTGCCTGGTCTTGGAACGTGTGTAAGAGGGAATACTTTCCGGAGATGTTAGGTCATACTCCGAGCAGTCATGAACTCGGTGTATCGACACTAAAATGACTGAGTGCGTGTTAGCGGTAAACATTCTCATAAGTTCAGTTTGATAAGTGGCATGCATGTCCTATGTCTTCTTTCGTTTCCCGTCTGATTGCAAGGTGACCGGCCAAAAATCGAGGACTATCCGTGAGTAGGGAAGACAATTTTGCACGCACCGTTTTTTGTCAATACTATAACTGTGATGCTAAATAGTTAAGGGACCATGGAATTGTGCTAGTGGTAAGTAGAACTGAGATCGCTCAATCTACAAAAAGGAAACAAGAGTGAATTGTTCTACTCACTTTGAGAGCTGTTGGGTTGGGACCTTCGAGAATACTGCCGAAACTCATAACTGCAGCGTCCCGATAACGCCAATCTGGTTTTTTGATATTCTCTTTGACGAATGGAATGACCAAATCAACTATAGCATCTTCGCAGCACTGTGCTAAAAGCATGAGGCAAACTCCAGCGGCCTTGCTTGGATTCCATTCATCATCGTCCGCTGCTTCATCCTATCCAGACAATCGCAGATTATATAAGGTAACGCACCTGATGAGCTAATATTTCCATTAGAATGGGAGTGATGAATTGGAGGGCCCCTTTAGCATAAAACATGCTAGAAATGGCAGGAGGCTGACCCTTGTCAAAACATTCAGCGGCTTCGATTGCCAAATCAATCTCCTCGTCACAAACTGTCGACCAAAACTCAATGCCTTGCAATGCCACCTCGGGGATACTATCCTTCATGGCGTCCAAAGTGATCTGAAAGGAAAAAACACAGAATCATGAGAAATTCAAGTGGATGAAAGAGTTGTAAAAGCCACATACTGCGACTGAAATAAAGGCAAGCAAGTAACAGAGAGTAAAAAGTACAACGATGCTAATCAGTGAAGGGTGTACAAAAAACGAGACCATCGGCAAGGGGGAGCAGAGCAAGGATTTAGGCATGATGGGGATATAGAGCACAGCGGAAAACTTAGTACAATAACGATACAGAAGAGCTCGTAGAATGTCGCAGCAAAGATGCGCGGTTTGTTTAAAGTGGCCGTCACCATGTTTCAAAGAACGAATGAGTTAGAAGATTGTGTAGGAGGTTAAAACCAAATTCGATGCGAATAACGCACACATGTTGCGGCCGCCTTCAAGATGGATTGCGGTTAGGGGCAACGACTACAACTCAAGAAGGATCGGTTACTGAATAAAGTAGATAGGACAAACACCAAGAATACATTTATTAAACAGTACTTTCAAGTGACACAATGGTAGCAACTTTTGAGTATAGACGCCGGTGACAGTAGTGGTAGCAATGGAAACTCATGAAGCTGTCACTAAATGATGATAGCGATTGAAAAAAACGCAACAAAAATTAAATGCCAAGGGATATTCGACGTGGACAGAAGGGTGAGCTATGGTTCAGCAGTAGGGGCTTCAAGTGTCGAGCAATGCTCACTAAAAGGTCGGATGATATTTTGTGCAGATGAACGCTCAAAGCAGTCTAGAAAGGCTGTAGCGAAGTACGCAACGTATCAGTCAATCTCGAACGATTTGCACCTGTTTATGCAAATTCAACTAAGTACAGAAGTTGATTGGCCTCAATTATTATTAAGCAGAAAACAAATGGCAAAGAAAAATTTTGAAAAAAGACTTATCGTGGTGAACTAGGCAATAAATGGTGAGGCACAGAAGTCAGGTAAGTCAAACTACGAGAGACATGGCCACGGACAGAAGTAGGACTTCTGCTCAAGGACAAACAAGCGCTGCAGGATAATGCTAGCCGACGGTTTCGGTACAATGCCCGCAGCATTATCATCTCGAGCCAAGCACAAGGCGAGTCACGTGGACTCCAGTCTAGAAGGCGAGGCGGACCAACAACATCCTATCTAGTAGCCTGTTACTACAGTAACCGCTGCCAAATTAACTTTGCCTACCCCGAGCCTTGCAAACAAAACTAGGTCCTCCTCAGCAAGCGGTGACCGGGCATACGTAGTATGAACCCAAGCCAACGCAACTTACTCAGTGCCATCTGTTGTTTTAAGGAACTAGTCTGATTATCCCTGTCTATCACTCATCTGCGCATATCATCGTTGCGGATACAATGGTGCCATCCGACACAAACAATGCTTCGCAAGCAGCGACGACCAAAGAGTTGAAGTCACCTCAGATCCTCCTCATCATCATTACACATTAGCTGAAGGTGAGAAACATACTTCAGCTAACTGTGCCGCAATACAAAAGATAAATGAAAAAGTGAGATACTAAACGTTACAAAATACAAAAACTAAAAAACAATGATGTTAAGTGTAACAATATCCGTTCAGCTGTTAGACGGGGGTTAAGCGGGAAGGGGAGGGACAAAGAATCGCAGAGCACAAAACCAGTGAGGTCGGCCCTTCGCTATGCCAACTAGTGCATCCAACCAAACGTGTTCATGGTCCTCGGGACCCGATCTGCAGTTGGAAAACACCAACCGACGCCAAGTCACGTGAGAGACTTCATTCCTCTGCACGAAATAGTCGCTCGGCCTCCCCTCCTGTTCTTCCATCTAAACCCTAGCCGTGCAAACGCGCACGTCGCGGGAGTCAGTGGGCTGAGATGCGCAACTCGTAACCCATTCATCGGAGCCTGGTGCGTGATATAATGGTGTAGAGCGGTTCACTCGCTCTTCCTGCACCAAATATGCAATGCCGAACACGTGTTGTTCCCCCAGACATGAGCCAAAGTGCAACGACAGAGATGGTCGAATGTAACTAGCCTCGTTATGTCCGTCGAGCTGATGGGCCAGGTTTCGCACCCGTACAGGAGGATTGAAAGCATAGCTGCGTTGTAAACTCTACTCCATGAGAGTGATGTCGCGCTGATGCCACAGGTGACAGAGATTGACAAAAGCACCTCGGGCTTTTGCTATACAGTTTGTGATCTCATCTATCTCCCTAGCACTAATATAGCTGCCAAGATATGTTAATCGCCGGGCGACTACGAGCTGATCCCTACCAAGGGGCAGCGCAGGAGTGGATCCCCGCCAAGTTTGGAGGAGGGCCTTGCATTTCGAGAGTGCAAAGCATAGCCCGAAACGACTGATAGCCAGTGGCAATCTGTCCATTGCTGTTGAGCACGTTTGAAAGCTGCACAGACTAAGGCAACGTCGTCTGAGCACTCCAAGTTAAGAGATCGGTTACCTGGGAGAAGCTCCACGCCTTGTTGATTGTGTCCAGTGAAAGCAGTACCCATGACTTCGTTGATGGCGTAGTTAAAAAGGAAAGGTGACAGTGGACAACCTTGTCACACACCGCTGGTGATATTACATAGCTGAGACTGTTTACCATAAGCCCCCACTCTACCCTAAGAATGCGCGTACAGCGCTGTGATAATGTCTATATATTTCTCGGACAGTTTCCTGAGCACAGTCCCAAAGGGTAGATTGATCAACCGAATCGAACGTGCAGTTGATGTTAAGGAACACGACAAAAGTAGGTCCCCAATAAATATGTCGGTGGTCCAACAAGTGGCGTAAGGTGAAGATATGGTTAATACAGCCTCGAGTTCAACGAAACCCGGTTTGCTACTCGCGAATCTGAGTGTCAGTCAAGCTAAGGAGCACGATAGAGGCAAGCAATTTAGAGGCAATCGAGGCCAGACTAATCTCTCTGTGATTGTTTTAATCCAAACATGGACCACTCTTAAAACGTGAGACCATAAAAAAGCGGCTCCAGTCTGTAGGGATAGCCTCCTGCTTCCAAAGTTTCACAAGCTGTGCAATTCATCTACAAGAGCAGGCCCCTCGAATCTATAGAGCTGGAGGGAGTCTGCTTACTCCCGCGGCCTTGTTCGATTTCAGCAGTCTGATCTCACGTTCGACTTCTACACGTGAGGGTGGATTCAAGGGGACGGCCCAGTGAGTAGGGCGATCAATGGCCGATAAGGAAGACGGTAACTCTTGCTGACTAAGCTGCCTTGTAGATTGTTCGGCCCAACGCTCCAAACATTTTGAGAAGCTGCGGATTGGCTGTCTACCCTTGTCGCACATAGTTCCGCTAATAACAGGTCTATTACTGCCGTTTCGCGTATCATATGGAGTAACTTCAGACGGTTACCGAGAGCAGCGGCTGTCACTACTTCCGATGCATGATGAGACCATCAGGCTTAGCGGACTCTCTGCAGTCTAGCACGTAGTTTTGCCCTGAGGTTTTTGCGAGTCCCACCGTATTCGCTTCCAGTTGAAATACGTCAGCGAGTACCTATAAGTTCCAGAGATTGCATAGAGACCCAAAGTCCATGTTGGCGATTTGATGTCACGTGAAAACATGCCTGCGGCTGGTAACGTCTGACGGATATGCGAACAGTTGTCTGCAACTCTGTACAGTGAGTGTTTCCTCAATCCGCCTGTCAGCGTACTTTGATACGCATTCAGAACATCTGGTTTCACCAGTTGGTTGGTATCCATGCCCTCACAGCGCCGTTGCAAGCGTCCACCAAAACGTACCCGATGGTCAGCACATACCAGTGGGTGGTCGGAGTCCACGCTCTTGCTCCAAAATGGGCTTGGTCAACCGGGTAGTATCTCGTCCTCTGACTTTAATGTGTAGCGTTGTGTTTTACAATTGCTGTATCTTCTTTTGAATTGCATGGTTTCTGATGGCTCTTTGTCTATTCGTAGACTGTTGCGAATATATGGTTGGCTGCATCCGGTTTCGGATTCGCCTGTCACTGTGGCCAGCCACAGGACGCCTGCGCCTACAGAGGGACCATGCTTGCCTTGCGCTGCACCACCCACAGCTGCATCTATACACCCCATATCCAGTGTAAACCCGAAGGAATAAGATCGGGAGGCATGTGGATGAGAGCCACGTTTCATCAACGGAGCCGGCCCACACTCCTTCACAGACAAACACAAGCACGCTGTATTTGGGGAATCAAGTGCACACAAGGCGGTGGCTGGACCGTAGTCCGCTCCACACAGTGTGTATGGAACCACTTTTCGAGCATAGCACGACCACAATGACCGTGCACCCCGTCCCCTCCAGCAACGACCAACTGTCTCCTGGAGGCAGTATGAACGAAGTAGTGGGTAATAGACAGGTAGGCACCTTGTCAACATGGACATCAAGGGCAGCCACACCGGGGATATCAAGCAACAGCCATTCGCTTTAAACGACAAGATGAAATAAAATAAATCCAATAATGCATACAGATACGGTGTAATAACTCTTCGCTAAATTACCATATAAAGTAAGTTGGTTAGCAACGAATCCGCGATAAATAAGAAATGTCCACAAGTTACTAAAAATTGCTACAAACGCAACAAAGTTACCGAAGATAAGCGCAATTAGCGTAAGCAACGTGGCCAGTTAATAGGAGATTATTCATGTAGGCAGAACAAACCAAATAAAGTGGAATGAAATTTATCCAGCTTAAAAAGACCTAGTTTAAGTGTAAGGTGGTTGAGCGCAACTGCAGTGAAGCATCAAGAATGCAACATCAGCCTCAGCATGGGGCACTGCATATATATATATATATATATATATATATATATATATATATATATATATATATATACTCCAAATTGAGCGACAGTTTTGGACGCAGCCTCTCTAGCAGTAAATGATCACGATGTGATCGATTTGCGTCTATAGCTGATTGGCACCATTTCACTCCTCTGCGGGCGCTGTGTCGAAAGTTAAAGTTCGCGAAAAATAGTCGAGCATCTTCACACAAGTGCAGCATCCGCTCACCGTTATCATTACAGGAGGCTACATTGTGTTGGC